GCCCCCAGCCAGGGTCAACCCACCACATTTAGCATAGTATCTTTCCAGTTGATACTGGATGTGAAATAAGCATCTTGGCTATATTTAAAAATATTTTCCATGTTAATTGGTCATTGTGGTTAAAAATAATGGCAAGACTTTACTGTGATTTTGTGACTTAATATTTTGGAAAATAAATGTTGCAGTCATGAAAGCTTATGTCTTTTAATTGGTAATACAAATAATCAAAGGCTTGGTAACATATATATATATATTGCTTTTATATTTCCTGTTTTCTTCTGTTTAGGTAAAAAACTTTGCTGTTATTTATCTTGTGGATATCACTGAAGTACCAGACTTCAACAAGATGTACGAGTTGTACGATCCCTGTACCGTCATGTTTTTCTTCAGGTACATGATGGTTCTAGAATGTAAAATATTTTGTGTGTCAAATATAGTGATCATATCATCATACAGTAGATAATTTCTAAATGCATATCAGCATACTGATGCTTATATTTTCATTGCTTTACAAAAGAGTCAACTGATTAAATAGGAAAATAGCTTGTTTTCCAATTAGCCTTGTAACAGTGTTTTGATAATAGAGTGCAAATTAGTGATAGTGAAAGCTGCTTTAATTATCCATTGGTTTTAGTTTCAAATCTGAAACTCCCTATATAGAATACTGCAGTAATACGGCAGTCAAGCTTGTCAAACTTGCTTTAAAGATATACCCAAAATATTGAAGTTTTTTTGAGCTATGGCATCTACATTGAGGAGATAAAATGTGCTACTGACAAGCGTGGAACTTTCCCTGTTTATGTTGCTTTCCCATTACTGTCTAACACCGGTGGGGAATATGCTGAAGGATACTTGCACTGAGTAGCAATCTTGGGGGCATGTTTGCAGTTTTTGTTCTAGCTTTAGAAATAGGCAGTAAAATGTCAGTTTGAGTTACAGGAGTGTATACTCTGAGGCTATATTGTTATAAGGGCCTATTTTGAATCCTACAAAGCATTCCTGTGGGGGATATAAAGTTTCTTTCTGAATTATAATACCATCTTAACCTGTCTGGTTTTTTTCTCTCCCTTTAAAGGAACAAACACATCATGATTGATTTAGGTACAGGTAATAACAACAAGATCAACTGGGCAATGGAAGATAAGCAAGAGATGATTGACATTATAGAAACTGTTTATAGAGGAGCCCGCAAAGGTCGAGGTTTGGTGGTATCGCCAAAAGATTATTCCACTAAATACAGATACTGACATTTCTTTGGGGCTGCCTTTTTTTTTACATCCACTTAAATTTATTCTTGTGTATGTGTGTACATATATATATTAAAAAAACTACAAATCCTCCAACTTTGAGCATATTTTGAATTATTTAAAAGGTTTGGAGTATGTCTGGAAAAGTAGAAGACACAAAGCCTGGAACTGTCTTGACTGCAGTAATACTGTAGCTGAATTTCAGGTTGTATTTTTATTTTTAAAGACTTTGTGTTGTCCTTTTGGTATTATGTATTTTTGTACACAAAAAGCCTGTTTGCAGAAAAACATTTCAACTGCTTTTGTTTGCTTTTGTTACACAAATATCAGGGAAACTCTGCTACAGCTTTTTTTAAAAGAATAAAGTGAGTTCCACTTATTCACCTTCATTTTCTTTAGCTGATCAAATTTGAGAATGAAAACAAATGTAATTGGATGCAAAGTCAGAGTGTTGAAGATAAAGGCTTATCACTTCTGTTAGGATTTCCTTGCATAGTATCTTGGTCTTCTATATCCACTAAGAATAGGAATAAAACACTAAGGTGCATGTATTAATATTTAGCAAAACTTAGAAAACATCTTCTACGACTTTGTGCGCACTTTTTCCCCCCATCAACTTAATTGACTTGTGGTGATGGACTTCTTTTTCACAGTGATTATGCACACAGTAATCAGTTTGAAGTACTTAATAGCTTGTGTGGTGCCAAAGGGTAATTGCAGATCTGGAGCTGGCTGCATACTCAACAGTTGAAGAAAGGATGAGCTGTGCTTTCATTTGACCTCTAGTTTGTCTGATGGTATACCAAAATGCATGTATACTCATGAGGCTTGGATTGGATTTCACTGTGGCATGGCTTTTAAAGTTTTCATTTCTATTTCTGACAACTTTTGGTTTATGGTAATGGAGCCAGTGTTGTGTGGGGGTTGGGGGTTTTTTTGGGTGTGGTGGTTTTTTTATTTTTTTTTTTTAAAGAATAAAAAAAAAAAAAAACAAACAAGCCAGACTATGCAGAAAGAAGATACTTTGGTCCAGTTTGTCACAAGACAAAGTAGAATATGCTTTTTTTACCATCAAGTGTGTGTTAGAGAATTTAGAATGAGTCAAGAAAGTAAAACACAGGGTCCCAATTTGTGCTTAAGTTAATCTGGTTTACAGTGGTGGTTAATTATAGAATAATTTATGTTGGAAGGGACTACCAACCTCTCAGTCAAAGTAGATCCCACTTGATCAGGGTGCCCAGGACTGTGTCCAGAGTTGAGTCCATCTCTAAGGATGGAGATGCCTCAGCCTTTCTGGAAAGCCTGTTCTCCTGCCTGAACACACTCATAGTTGAAAAAAGTGTTCCTTGCATCTAGCTGGAATTTCCTCTGTTCCAGCTTGTGTCTATTGACTCTCTTGTGTAAAACACCTGCAGCAAGAGTTTCCCGTGCTCTACCATGGGGTGGTTGCCAGCAAGAAGCCATAGTCTTTTCTTAAGGCCGAACTAACAGAATTCTCTCAAACCCTTGTATGCTTTATACTCCACCATATCTTGGTGGCTCTCTGTTTTAACTCTCTCATAACAATACATTTCTTGAACTGGGGAGCCCCAAAATTCACGCATTACTCTGAGTGTGGTCTCATGGGAGTTGGAGAGGAATGACCTGCTGCCTCTTCTGGCGCTGGTACTGACCAGCGTGTGGCTGCAGCCTTTGTTGCCAGGGCCCCTTGCTGACTCGTTCAACTTCTCCAGCAGACCCCACTCCTTTCCTGCGAAGCTGCACGCCAGCCAGCCCCTCACAACTGCACTGCAGTGTAAAGCTTACCCTGTCCTAGAGGCCAGGCTTGGCTCTTGCCTTTGAACTTCATGAGGTTCCTGTTCTCCAGCCTGTCCTCTCCCCCCAGTTTAACATTGCTTTCTAATCTACACTGATTAAAGCATCTGTTAGAATGATTTCTTAATATTAATGAAGACTCTGTAATAGATGCTAAGTATTAACACCTGCTGAAGTTTTAAAAAGCATATTTGTCTTTCATTAGCTGAGGTATTCTATTTACCTGGTAATGCTTCCATTTCTGCATTTGTTCCTACAAGTTTCAAACAAAATCTTTCCTGCAAAAGGTGCCAATGTTTTGGTGTAGAAGAACCTTAAAGTTAGTGCAGATGCCATGGGTTTTTCTGACTCTACAATGTCTTGTTCAGGCCATGTTTAGTAACTAGAATTCCTTCTCTATCTCAAAGTCTTTAAAATGGGCTCTTTTGTCAAAATGACTAATGTTAAAGAACTGAAATTGGCATGATATGCATACCTGGGTGATGTTATCTGCACAGGTAGACACAGCTTTGGGTGGGCTTGTGAAGAGTAACCACTGAACAGCTGTAATCTGTGCAAATACTGCCATTTCTTTTAGTGCAGAACAGTTTATATTCATTTGACCTATGAAGTTTTGCAAGGAGGAAATAAGGTAAGGTGCATTTTGTAATGTTAAACATTTAGAGAAGCATCAAAATGGCACATGCAAATGGAAAAGTTTTGTCATAGAAGGATCTTGTTATTCTGAGAACATTTAAGTTGAAAAAGCAACAAAGAAATATGATGAAAATTTTAATATTCTTAAATAGATTTTCATACATTGAAAAAGTTTATGCCTGGATAAGTTCACTATATAAGATACCATTTTCTATCCAAAATAGTGTTTTTCTCCCCCCCTCAACCTAACAGTTCTCTGCCAGTTACAGGAAATAGTGTGCCATTTAGATGAATAAACCAGCGTTCTACTTTTTTTCCTGGGGCAGTAGTCTTTTAAAAAAAGAAATTGAGATTGTATCATGACATGATGCAAGCATATTTGTTTTCACTGATGCTTCTTGTGACTAGTAACACTGATTGTAAACTCCCAGACTCAGTGGGGTGTTCTCCCTGTATCTTTCTTGATCACAGCTTCATTTCAGTGCTGCAAAGAAACAGTGAATAAGTAGGTTAGTGGTTTAATTATTCATGAATGTGATTCTGCATAAAAATAGGAAGATCTCTGCAGTTAAATACATCTTCATGGATTGTCTTTCTAAATTTCTGAAAATTCTTTCATGGCTTATCACAACAAAGGCATCAGAACGAATAGATGCCTAAGTTACTTCAATATATTTACAGACATTCCTGTCTTTTGTTGGGTAAGCAGTTTCTAAATGACAAAAATAATTGACATGTCTCAATCAGGAAAGCGTGCAACAACAGGAAGAAGACATCACTGGCACCCACAGAACATGGAAGTAATGCTGTCTCGTAAATACTAAGAACACTAAGGCATCCATCGAGGGGGTGGCATTCGCAACGGACAGCGATATAAAATCTAGTATGCAATCCTGAACTGTAGCATGATTTTATATTACTGAGTGTTTGACAATAATATTCAAGTTATCCTTCCTCCTTCCATCTTACTGCTGCAAGAACAAACTACTGCTGTGCTTGGGGTGAATGTATTTAAGAGGTGTGCTCTGAGCCCCGTTGGGAAGCTGAAGCAGGTTTTAAAGGAGATATGCATAAAGCAGTGAGAATCCTCAGTCAGCTAGGCGAGCATACTTGAGGGACAAGAATGGTCAGCAGGAGTGCTTTAAGCCATGCACATTTTGTTACAAACATACAGCCTCAGTTTACATATTTGGGATTAGTTTGTGCTATGCCTTGGATATGTCACTCAGCTGCAACAGATGCAGCAAGCTACAGTTTGTGTTTTGTTCCTTGGCTCTTGGGAAAAAGAAATGCAAGGTAATTTAAAATATGTTAAAATATCTCAGTATACTTTAAAATACAAGTAAATGCAGGTATGATAAATATGTAAACAATAGTGTCATGCTAATGCTGCCCATAGTTCAAAACTAAGTGGAAATACATAAAATACAGTAAAAAAATTAAGTTTCTTTACTCTCAACTCTCCATCCGTGTTTTCTATCCCAGCCTCTGTCATCAGGTCAGCAACATGCTTCTCAAGATCATCAATACGCTCGCCCATTTCTTCCAGTAAGAAGTTAAAGATAACTTTATTTATAAATAAGGATTTTATAATTTTATAGGTTTTTTTCTTTGAGAAAAATTTAGAAGCTCTCTTCCAGATGTCTCATCCTCTTTACTTATTCATGTTCAACACTAACGCAAGATGAAGCGTGCACAAGGTTGTATTACAAGACAATCCCACTTTCTTTTGCAACAGATTAGCATTCAAGTTCTAAATATTTTCAAATGCCTTCCTGTATGCCCATGAGTGACCTAGAGTATTTTCTGTGTAAGAGACTGTTTTCTTTCCATACAGTCAGCATACACAATCAGAATAGGAGTACTGCTAAAATGTTCTTCTTCTCTTAGACTAAAACAGCCGTTTCCTTGAAGGTCGAGTTACAGGAAAAAATGGAAAACTTAATAAATTCATAGTTTTAGAAAGCAGAGGTACTTTCTGTAAGTACACCTAATGAGAAAGCTCAGAGGCCTTAATTTTTCTTTTTAAGGATTCACCTTCCCACGCCCAGGAGCTAACACTTGTTTTTAAATCAACAGCACACACCAATATGCTGATTTAAGTAGCATTTTTGAAAATGATTGCTTTTTCAATTTACCTTCAGAATCTTAACACATAATTTGCTGCTTATTTTACTTGGAAAGCAAGAATTGCTGTACAGAGACTAGCTCACCAGGAGTTGATGCTACATTCAGTAAAACCTTTTTTAGGATTTCATTCTTG